TAGTTTAAACTAAATAAAAGCACGTGTACATAGTATCGTTTAATTTGTGTTTTATGTTGCCGTTACATTGGTAGCAATGTGTTGTTAATTTGATATATGTTATAATAAGGTGTTATATACGTAATTAGTTATGATCTATTTTACTAATAATATTTGGCGTTCAAAATGACCGATTATGTAATTATGATACATTTCGTTTTTCCAAAAAAATGAACGGGGCAATTAGTCCACTCAGGTCAGATGGGTTACCTGACTCCGTACATAACACATAGCAGTTAGTACACTTTGATCTTAGTCAAAATATCGAGTAGAGAATCGGTGCAATATGTAACTCGACTACTCCGACCACTAATTTAAATGACAGTTTCCATAACTTGATTGATGAGTATATTAACATAATACCTGCCATATTGAACACGCAACTTTAAATTGAGCTACATTTGACCATCTCTTTTAGTAACAAATACGTATGTTACATTGTTACATATTATCGATATATATTAGTTTATGTTAAATGTATCATTATGATTCGATACATTGTCGCCCATATTTTTTGTATTTTTTATTTAATTTTTCCGATGCTGGTATTTACCAATATTTTTTTTCTTGTTTGTTTATTGTGCAAGGGAAGTAATTACATATTTAATAGACCATTTGGTAAACAAACAAAAAATAAATCAATGAGACGTATTAATTTTTCCTAAAATTATACATATCTTCTACAACAAAGTTATTCAAAAGCATACATAAAATAATAGATGTACATTTGTTTTATTTTTAAAAAATTTCTGTAATTGCAAAAAAAAGCCACAATAGCATTCAGTTTTACCCATTTGAAAGACAAGCGAGGATATCGTTTAACCTACCACTTCTTGATGATGTATGCCTTTTGGAGAAATATTCATATTGTTTTAAACGAAAATACATATTGAGAACAGAAAACGTTCTTCAAATTACCAATAATAATGTACATTTCTACCCTGTTTTTGGTGATATGTATTGTTTGCTTCACTATTAAAAGTAGAACCCATAATGTGTTGATTTGTATGCATATCAATTTTCGCTTACAAAAGAGTACCATATATATAATGGATCTTTTATACATGACAACATATCTGGAGAGGGGAGGGGAAAGAACAGGAGGGATTTATGATGATAGAGAGAAAAATAAATCAAACGTTATTGCAGTAAAAACTATAAAATGAATTTTAATTTACAAACGCATATTTAGTTGTTTTTTTACAGTTTGAACATACAATTTGAAGAAAATAAAACATACCAACAATTATATTCTCGAACATAATTTTTCTTTGGTAGCTGTCCCATCCCGACACTTTGAAGTGAATGATACAACTAACTTGTCGATCGATTGAATACTACAAACCAGAAATAAGAATTAACAAAGTTTATGCTAACTGAAAGACATGGTGTTGTTGTTTACCTTCCTGCATCATAGGGAGAGCCGTGTGTCAACAGAAGGGGGAAGTGATGAACGAACTCAATAGCGACTCACACATTTCACGTGCTACCTCTTGTAACATTTGATTCAGATAGGTTAGCCGAGGTTTATTGTTTATATGAAACAAAATTATATCATCAATGTATATTTTCCAAACATCTAGCGAGTTGACCACCTGGATGTTTCAATGTAGCAGAACTGACAACTAAGTTAACCAAACATTATGCCATATATGTAGGACGTCCTTATGCCCACCCAGCTCAGATGGGTACCTGACCAGAGGCGTAGCGACCCTTCCCGGCGCCCGGGGCGAACTTTCAATTTGGCGCCCCCCCCCCCGCTTATATATATATATATATATATATATATATATATATATATATATATATATGTGTGTGTGTGTGTATAATTATGTGTGTGTGATAGTGTGTTTATATATAAGCTTATGTGTGGGTAAGAATGTATTTGTGTGTGTAAGCGTGTGTGTAAGCGTGTATGCTACAGTCCGGACAAGGTTTAATAATTACATTGTATGATTTTCATTCCTTAAAACTTTACGACAATTTAATTCCCATTAAGATGCGTTTAACTTTTTTTGCGAAAGATTAGTAATGTCAGTAAAAAAATAAGCCTGATCTGTGTTAGAGGGTAGTTTGTAGCTAACGCTAATATGTTTAGACCAGCCTTTTATGTTCTAGTTTTGGAACGATCTCTGTTGTGATATGGTACATAGTTGGATTCGAAGTTTGTTAGAGTAAGGACACACAAGTGACATACAAGAAGAAGTTATCAGAAATATTTATTGTTCACATTGGAATACGACATGGGTATTTCGTTGATTGGTTGATGGTATGACAAAACAAGCTAGAGAAAACAAACTGGAATCCAACGGATGTTAACAGCTCGTAGTCTTGGATTTCGCAGATTTGCCCTGTCTTCTCGCACACAGTTTCTTCCAGGCATCTTCGCCCCCGGAAAATTTTTTACGCCCCCCCCCCCGAACGAAATGAAATTTATATAATTTATATATAGAAAATATATACTTTTAACAGTGTCCGCCCCCCCCCCCCCCGAAGAAAGTTTACCGCCTCCCCCCTCCCCCCGAAGATTTCAAGTGCCCCCCCCCCCCCCCGGAGAAAAAAAGTCTGGAAGAAACACTGATCAAAAGTATCTGATCTCTCACGTTGAAGTTGAGAGAATCGTAAGAATCTTACAAAGAACTAGTCGCGTCTTTTTGTTTAACAAAACTGTCTATTGAAATTGTACATTACGCGTTAATACACTTGGTTTCTTTACTAAGTGTTAAGAGAGTTATCTACTCACCAATCCAGTACAAATACTTGCGATTTTTGTTAGCGAAAAAAGCGCCCCCCCCACCCCCACACACACTCATCACAACCATCTTGGACAAAGTTTGTAGAGCGGTTTTTAACGTAACTAACTTTTTTTTTAAAAATGTTACACAATTATACAATGCACAGTACAATTCGTTTCTTTCTGAGAGCTAAAGGTTGTTTACTCAGAATCCTGTGTAATTTTGCTATTTTATTTAGCCTAAAAGCGCCCCCCTGCACCATCTTGATAAAAGTCACTAACGTATTTTACAGTTCAACAATCGTACAATACGTTTTAATACAATTGGTTTCTTTTAATAGTGGTAACGTTTATCGACTCAACAATCTAGTGTAAATTCTTCCGTTTTAAGTCTCGAAAAAGCGCCCCCCCCCCCCCCATCTAGGAAAAGCTTCAAAGCGGTTTTGCCGGTCACTGTTTCTTAAGAGTATATGTTTTACATTAAGAAATCAAGATAGAAAACAGTTAAATCAGTATGTAAATGCGTGTAGCCATTACATTTCTTAACTTAGACAGTTTATAATTCAAAACTGCAGCATAAAATCAGCTTTAAAAAAATTTTCCCACCCCTTTTGGCGCCCCCATAGGGACGGCGCCCGGGGCGGCCGCCCCCGCCCCCCCCCCCTAGCTACGCCTCTGTACCTGACTAACGTTAGAAAAAACTGCGGCCACAGCTAAGACCTGCGTACAGAACCCGTGTGATATAGACCACGATGATCTTAGCCAAAAGGCCGAGAATTTAAATGGGACAATAAATCACTCGGCTACTCAGAACAATGTGCGGAATGCTTTATTGAGGATTGAATCAACATATGGTCTTCCATATTGAACTCACATACAACTTTATATTTAGCTACATCCGACCGGCTCCAAAAGTAGCAGATACATATTTTACATGGTTAGATATTTTCTATTTTGGTTAATTTTAAATGTGTATGGAAATAATTCAAATAACAGAGGCACAATGTTTTATTTGTCAAAAAGTACACGAATTAATATATAATATGTGTTACACATTTAGATGACATGTAATAAAGTCGGATTGATCAATGTTGGCTTTCCTCTACATTATGGTTACATGAATTTCCTGTTTTACATGTCCTAGGATTTGTTGTCATGGCTGACTTGTGGCAAACGGAGTCCCAGACTAAATCTGGGGCTGTCAGATCGGCTGTTCTGGATATGGACATGGAGGAAATGGAAATGATGGATGATGGGAACAGTGACACTTCTGACTATGACAACAACTTTCACGCCATGAGACAAGACAATCAAGGCGCTGGAGGGAAGGCTAACAAAACATGTGTTGATGATATACGACAAAGGGTGGGAGAAAACGTCACACAGATGGTGTGGCAAGCTGGAACACAGGGTGCTAAAAGGGCTTGGACACTGTACGGGAATATTCATGTGCTGCGTCCTTACTTTGATGTGGAGCCTAAAGAAGTGCAGATGAGACTGCTGAACTCTCTGATCCCCAAAAAACCTTCAGATCAGAGGCAATAAGTGCCTACAGAGCTGTACGGCCCCACAATGGTTGTTCCCACCCTCATAGCTATTCTACTCTACCAGATGAAGACAGCAGAACATGTTAAAGTTTTCATGGCATTTTTCAAGCAGGAAAATTACTTCGAAGGTCTCTACACAAATAGGATTTTGTCAGTTGTGAACTTATTTTTTTGTTTTGTTTTTTACTTTCCCGCCTCAGACATGTATTTTTTTTAATGAAAATTGGTTTATTTGTTATTTACAATTTGTACAAGGAGAAAAACCAGAATAAATTCCACATACTGTTTTCAGTCAGCAATATAAACAAAAAATAATTATTTACTATAGTTTGCAACATACACAATTCTTAGTCATCACACAGTAGAATAAGCATAAAATAAATATTTGTCTATAACTTAGAGCTTATATTATTGTTTTAATCTTTCAGGCATTAATAAGTCCAGTTGAATTTAAATATATATCAATGTTTGAAAAAAAAACACCCAAATGTTAACCGAAGTATTAATTACATTGTTCTTTAAATCAATAATGCCGCTCAAGGTGAACATAGTTTAAGTTGTTGAACATTTTTATGTATGTAATTATTTTATATGAATGGTTGATTGAATAGGTCGATAACATATTAGAAAAATATCTACTTCAATAGAGGCCTAACATATTATGGTGATCTTGTGAAAACTCACATTTGCGAATCAGATTTGTCAGCAATTTCTTCTTTAATACCAGCTACTGGTACCGCCATTTCTTCTTCATTTGCTACTGGCAATGGGACTAAATTCTGATTCAGGGCATCAGAGATTTCCTCAACACTGTTGTGATATGCAAAATGTAAGTAGAGCAGAAACAAGAAGTGTAGAGCAGCTATGGTCCCAATGACAATGAGACGTTCCGTTTTACCTCTGGTTCTTGACATGATGATACCTGCTATCCTTAGAGTAGAGAGACCACCAACGCCAGCCCACAGGCTGTGATCATGTGATGTGTGTATGATGGTGCCCAGAAACAACACCACACAGTGAGCAAACAGGGCATATCCCATCATGGAGAGTATCTGCAGCAGGGTGATGCGCACGTTACACACATAGCAAACAAACCACACCACACAGGAGGCACCAAGCCAATACATGAAACACACACCTATAGCAGAGCCCATCAGAGTACCTACTTATATTTTAAACACCGACTATACATTTATACCAAAATCCTAGATTGCCATAATATAACCATTCGCACAACAAGTTAATTCTGGCATAACACGCTAGTATAAACAACATAAAGGGATACATCGTTACGACACATAAACCAAAATCAGCACGTCTTGATGATGTTCCATCATCATCTGATATTTTGGTTGATATTGTTGGTGACTTGGCTGAATAAAAAACTGTTGTAGATAAGATACTTGGATTTCGTATCAATGTTTCGTATCAATGTTTCGAACACAACAAATATCATTTTTTTTTTGTTTTTAAAATTTAGTACATAATTTCTCAACCACACAATACAACAATGTCTTGTCTATATCTTGTGTTGTTGTATTTATAGTTGTCTACAGAAATGTGTTTACTTCTGTCTTGTCTATGTCTTGTGTGTGTTGTTCTATTTATAGTTGTCTACAGAAATGTGTTTACTTCTGTCTTGCCTATGTCTTGTGTGTGTTGTTCTATTTATAGTTGTCTACAGAAATGTGTTTACTTCTGTCTTGCCTATGTCTTGTGTGTGTTGTTCTATTTATAGTTGTCTACAGAAATGTGTTTACTTCTGTCTTGCCTATGTCTTGTGTGTGTTGTTCTATTTATAGTTGTCTACAGAAATGTGTTTATTTCTGTCTTGCCTATGTCTTGTGTGTGTTGTTCTATTTATAGTTGTCTACAGAAATGTGTTTATTTCTGTCTTGCAGGACGCCGTCACCACGAGCCTACACATACGATCTATTTTTACCACCCTAGTCCAGTCTTCCAGTGTGTAGACCGTCCAGTGGTTGGTTACAACAATATCAACAAAGTAGAAATTATAGAGTTAAAAAATAAAGAAATACAAAAAAAAAAAAAAAAAAAAAACCTTATAACAACACGCTTTTAAATGCACTAAAAATGATTTTAAAAACATCTCAAATATATAAAATGCCTCATGAGCGACCACATGGTAATGGGAAGCGAACATTTGTAATTATATTTCTCCCAATATAACAACCTACCAGAAGCCTACTAGTTTTTGTTATAAAACAATGTATAACATATCTTTAGTGAATGTTCTTCATGTAAAATAAAAAAAAACAACTTTTTTCACGATTTAATTGTGATGACTATCATAGAAAGAAATTGTATGATACGTAATATGCTAATTTTGAAACTTGTGCATTCTAAAAGGGTGCGATTTTTCGGACCTTATAGAAATCTGATCAGTAGTTCTACCAAAAAGTTGTCTACTTTCTTGGTGGGAACATTTAAAAAAAAATCACATTGACTGATTGGGTTCCGTATCCAAGCCACCTGACTGATTAGCTGACGCGCTATCATCGTGACTAGAAACTCTCCATTTAGTTGGTTGAAAATATTTTGGATTTGATAGCCAGCACTTAAAATATTGTTTTAATTATATGATTCCCAGAGGCGTAGCGATGGCGGGGGGTGGGTGGGGTGGGGGTGGGTGGGGGGGACAGGGGGGGGGGGACAATTGTCCCCGGGCGCCGACCTTAGGGTGCGCCAAAATGGCTTGGAAAAAGTAATCGAAAGTTTGAGGGGGGGGGGGGTGCAAATCGAATGTTTATGGAAGGGGGGGTTAGTCCATCGAACAAAGTTCAACTCTCACAGTAGTAACGTCTTACAAGATGTCGTTACATTAGTAGAAGTGTTGGATTGTTGGTAATATGTTTGGGTATATTGTAAACATAAATTATACAAAAAACTCACATTTGTTTGACTAAAAATACGTATTTACTTATTATTTCCAATTAAATATTAAACAGTACACGGGAGACAAATATCTACTAGTTTATATCACTAGCTGTGGAAATGAACTGATACAATATACAGGAACCCGACTAGTATGTCTGAATTAAAAATTAAATTATTTCTAATAAAATAATTTGCTGTAAGAAAACTTTATTTTACATTTAGGTTATATGTAATTTTTCTTTAAAATGTGTGTATATTTAAATATTTAAAGCTATAAAGAAGTTGTTTGCACTTTTTAAAGAGATGCGACTAAGTCGCTTTGCTATATTTCATGTATATTGATCAGTAACTTGGTACGTTAACTACTTTTTTTTGCATACAAAAATAAATAAATACAAAAAATTAGTAAATGGTGGTCTGGACTCAAAAGTGACGTATGTACTTCATCGGAATTAATTCAACGTGTGTGATGACTTCTGAAAATAATCCTTACCATATTTGGGCAGAGTACACGTGGTCAAAGTCTCTCTGTGGTCAAAGTTTAGCGTATCATATTATCATTTTTAGTTGATGTGTGTATGTGTGTGTATGTTAGGCCCCAATACGTAAGCAAAAGTACATGCCTAAAGTAAGTTTTTACCTTTACCCGTGTCAGTGTTGCTAAAACATGTTAAACAAAATATTAAATCGGGCATGTACAGTATACGCATATTTACTAAATAACAAGCTGTAAACAAATCTGAAATGTGTAGTGAATGCATGCTGCGTTTTCGATCACTTGTGTATTTGCAAATAAAGGAAAACCGTATTGAGTTTTCTTACTCTTTTCAAGCACAAACGATCAAGTCGGTGTAAACAATATTGATACATGTGGTTTAGGTACACTTGATTAATAATAATAGCTATTTTTTTTTTATTAAAACGTTTGATTTGCACCCCCCTCAAACTTTTGATCTACACCCTCCCCTCAAACTTCATATATATATATACCGAGGGGTCTATGGGGGGGGGGGGTTATTACCTTCCCCTCCTATTCCCCCCTGCCTCCGCCATTGATATCTTGAATTGTGAATATCGTGCACTTTTTTAATACATTGATTCGATATGACATGACATAAATACATAGTGTAGTTGAGTAAACAGCTGAGTTTTTTTTTAATCGTATTGTCGTGTTTAAGCACGGGTCAATTTTCGCATTACACAACTGGCGGTCACCCGATGACCATAGATAACTACCGCCCCCAACCCCCCCCCCCCCCCCGCCCCTCCACCCCACCATCCAAACACGTAAATTGACTTATGTTAAAAAAAAAGATCTTTTGGTTACCATAAACTCAATTAAAATCATATCTCTGTTCTTTTCACTTATGTCAGACTTTAACAGCATCAGGTTAATCTTTTCGCTCATAATATTTTGAGGAAGATTTATTCATATTAGATACAAATCAGCTGACTAAAAACAATTATTAAGCAAACGATCAAAGTGCTCAGACTATAATCGTTTAAACTTTTTAATTTACGTATCTTTGAAAACTACATGAAATAAGTAGTACATGTTAGTTTTTTAAATGTCTCAAAAGCATTTATTCATTCTTCAATGTCAGCACAGTATTTTTACGTACTTTATAATAACTAATTAGTGTTAATAGAACAAACATCGAATAAATTTAATATTTTTTACTTAAATTGGTTTATTCATCTATTCGTCGGATTTTGTTTCTTTGAGTTGTCTCCCGTCGTTAATTTGGAAAAATAAATATGGGAAGTAATTGTGAAATGCTCGTTTAAAATTTCAAATAAAAAGAAATATATATATATATATATATATATATATATATATATATATATATATATATATATATATATATATATATATATATATATATATATATATTTTTTTAGAGCACCCAATATTACAATATTACATATAATATTATTGTGAGTTAATGAAGAAAGTTGGAAGTTTTCTACGCTGTGTGAATTGTGATTAGTTATCCTAAACTCGACAGGTTCCTTACATGCATTGTAATAACCAAGTTATTAGTTGTTACTTGCGATAACCATATAATAAGTACATACGGATTTGTATGTGAAAAATGATACATACACTGTAGACCTATTTGTATTTAAATGTGGATAGCCTGGCACAGTGTGTAAGATCAAACACAAGTCCATTTCAAAACATGTTATAATGTTGCTTTATTTTCACAAAATAAATCTTCTATTCTCTTTTACTCTACTATACACAATTCCCAATAATATTCGGTCTCTAGTCTGATTACAAATGCTTCCTTCCCACAAATATCAAGCTCCGCTGCTACTAACTACTTTAATTGTAATCAAAAGGCCCCGGCAGCGATTAAAAAGCAGTAAAATATATAACTACAATAAATAAATACAAATAAAACAAAACAAAGAACGAAAACAGTTATATACTGCAAGTAGCAGCGCTGTAATGAACACACGTAATGATATCTGACGACTATTGGACAAAAATTGTATGCACGGGGCTTATGGCCTGGAATACATTTTTACGTTAAACATAGTATATTATAAACATTATACATTATAAACATTAATAGTTGACAAGGTTTTACAACTATGTATAGTTTCTTTCTACTTTACATAGCATGAACAACAAATCATTTAATGATCTCAGTTATAGGCCTATAGATATCACATATGTGACCCGCTTCAAACTTGACTTTTACAGCTCGTTTTCATGTATCAACAACATATACCAATTGTAATGATCGTAAGTTGTATCAGGGGACTAGAAACACTATATTTAAAATTATTTTAGTTGTAAAGTACTATAATTATTCTTTTGTAAATTTATAATAAGGGATTGAAAATAATAAGATTACCATCTTCCCCAAAATATATATATATAAATTTAAATTTAAAAAAAAAACATAAAAACCTCATAAAGTGTATCGATTTTGTATTCTATGTTTCTATTAAAAATAATAAATCGATTTAACTCTGAATGAACGTATTTTAAAGTATATTGCATGTTATGTATTTACATGTTGTGCTTCAAAACAACAACATAGGCCTACACACCAATACATTGAGTGTATATGTTTTAAAGACTACTGATGACATTATGTTAATTGAAGTTTCTTCTACGATTAAAAGT